AAAAAAACCTTCTCATATCTAGGATTGGATGGCCCTTCCAAGTCGCTGGCACCCTTCGCCCCATGTCCCTGTGCGCCCTGCATGATGAAGTATTGTACACAGGCTGGAGAGGGCACTGGAGCACAAATTACACCAGTGCCCCCGTCCTGCAGAAAAACAGAAACCTGGAAACTTCACGATAAAACCAAAGGTCACTTTGAGCAAAAACCTTGCAATAACAAGATATCCCTCAACAAGCATTTGGGGGGGGTTTCTGTTTTTCTGCAGGATGGGGGCACTAGTGGAATTTGTGCCGCCACTTCTCCTCGCTGCTGGTCTTACCTTCTCCATGGGAGGAGGAGGAGAAAATCTCTTCGCACAGGCTAGAAATATGTCGGGATCTGGTTTTCCGTTCTTCACTTCGGGGTCATCCCCCAAAACGATGTGGTCAAACAAGCTGAAGAACTCTTTGTGTCTGCTGGTCTTCATCTCAAACGATGCACGGCCAGAGCTGGTGGCAACGGCCAAGGGCACACCATGCTTTCGCAGGTGGTGGATGAGTTTCTCCACGCCTAGGGAAGAGAAGGGAAAGCCTTCAGGGAGGTGGAGGAGGTAGAGGGCCACAAGGCCTCCTGGGGATGCCGTGCTAGCTCTGGGACCTTGACTCTCTGCCACCTATTCTCAGGAACGATCCGATCTGACACACATGACCCGAACGGGAGGGCTAGGGGCTCTGAAACACACCTACTCAAACCAAAACTCAAAAAGCAATTCAGGGCTTCCCTATAGCATTTCCCAAAGTAACAGAAGGCAATTTTACTGGAAAGAAACACTGCTTTGTTTGCCGGTCCTTTTTTTTTTTTTTTAAAGATTTTATTTATTTATCTGACAGAGAGAGAGACAGCGAGAGAAGGAACACAAGCAGTGGGAGTGGGAGAGGGAGAAGTAGGCCTCCCGCAGAGCAGGGAGCCCGATGTGGGGCTCGATCCCAGGACCCCGGGATCAGGACCTGAGCCGAAGGCAGACGCTTAACGACTGAGCCACCCAGGCGCCCCTAAAATCTTTAAAAAAAAAAAAAAGATTATGCTGTTGGTGTTTTCTGAGAAAACTCGCCATGCTACCGAAAGCAATTCAGTCATTCGTCACTGCCAGGGAGAGGAAATCCTGAAAGGGCTTCTACCAGAAGCTGAGGACAAAGGCCAGAGCTGAAGGAGAGCTGTAATGCTACCTGGTAAGGGAACAGAGGATGAAACAGACCTTGCTGAATGCGGCTGAGCTACAGCAGTAACACATCACATGGAAGGAACACCTCCCACACTCTCAGTAACTGTTAAGGGTTAAGTACAGGGAACATGGAGACGAATACCATTATTCATAGAGCCACTGGAGAGAGGGCTGGTTATCAGAAACGTGTGGAATACAACAGTACTTTCCACCTGGAAACCTTTGCCGACTATGACAGTAACGTCTAAATCCACATATAACACTAATTATCTAAAGCAGTATTTTAAATAATCATATAATCATTACTGTTTTAGTAACTGCATCAGGCGATGTCCCTACTTTCTTAATTGCTACAGAAAAGACTTACACACTCATTTTTCTCAAACAGCTAAAGCTGTTCATGAAGACAACAAATACTATGAGCGTTTGACCTTTAAGAGAAATAGTCCTGAGATGTTCAAAGGAAGATTCAAAGGATCTTAACTCTGTGCCAGGACAATGTTAAAACTTTAAGAAAAAAAAGCAAAATCTAGCACTCTGCTGGATGTGAAATTCACAGTGTCTGACATCTAATCAAGAGTTACCACGCCTACACATAAGCAGACAAATACAACGCATGTCCAGGAGAAAACAGCAATCAACAGAAATGAACAGAGACATGGCTGAGATGAAGGAATTAGCATATCATGACCTTCTAGAAGCTTTATAAACATTATAAATATGCCCAAGTTAGAGACTACCATCAGAATGGAAAAAATAGAACAAAAACAAAATTGATATCCAATTACATACTATCTTCAGAAAACTTACTTTAAATATAATATTCAGGCAGGTTAAAAATAAATGGATTGAAAACCATATATTTTGTAGCTACTAATCAAAAGTAGGGTTAGCTATATTAATAGCAGAAAAGTGTGCTTTAAAACAAGGAATGACAAGTCTCAGAGATAACTAGGTACATTTCATAATGACAAGTAGGTCAATTGATCAACAAGACATAATTTTAAATGTGTATGCATCTTATAACAGAGCTTCAAAATACATAAAGCAAAAACTAATAGAATTGAATAGAGAAACACACTGAGGTTAGATGGAACAAGTAGACAGAAAGTAGAATACAGCAGACTTCAAACACACTATCAAGCAACTTAACTGAATTGACGCTTATATAACACTTCACCCAAAATAGCAGAATACAAATTATTTTCAAGCGCACCTGGAACATTCAATAAGATAGAACACGAGTCCGTGAGCTATAAAAAATTCTAAAACATTTTATAATAATTGAAATCATTCAAAATATGTTCCCTGATGATAAAAGAATTAAAATAGTTATCAATAACTGAAAGGTATGTGGGAAAAAATATTTGGACATTAAATAACACATTTCTATGTAAGACATGAGTCAAAGATGAAGTCACAAAGGGAAATTAGATAATCTTTTGTAGAGAACAAAAAGCTAACATATCAAAATTAGTGGGATGTGGCTGAAACATTGTTTAGAGGAAAACTGATGGCACTAAATGCTTATATTACAGAAGGTGGTCTAAAACCGGTAATCTAAGTTGTCCCATTAAAAACTAGAAGTAGACCAATGATTTAAGCTTTCACCCTAAGAAAGTGAGCGAAAAGAGCAAAATCAAGTTAAAGCAAATAGAAGGGGAAAAAAAAAATAAAGAGGAAATCAATGAAATAGCATAAAAGAGAATACAGAAAATCAATTAAACGAAAAGCTGGTCCTTTGAAAAGTTCGATTGGCAGACTGTTAGCCAAACTGATCAAGAAAAAAAGGAAGATCCAAATTTAACAGTGCTAATAATCAGAGGACATCTCTACAGATCCTTAAATTCATTAAAAGGATTAAAAAATATGATTATGAGCAGCTTTATGCCAATACATTTAACAGCTTAGATAAAATGGACAGACTCTTTAAAAGATACAAAGCTCACTCAAGAAGACAGTAATAACCTCAACAGCCCTATACCTTGTAAGTAATTTGTAGTTAAAAAAAAAAACCTTCTCATATCTAGGATTGGATGGCCTCACTGGTGAACTTAACAAATACTTGAGAAAGAAACAACACCAATTCTGAGCAAACTTTTCAGAAAATAGGAGGGAATATGTTCCAACTCATTTCATGAGACCAAGTATTTCTCTGATACCAGAGCTGACCAAAAGCCAGACAAGAAAACTAAAGATCCATATATCTCACGTTAACACCTTCTTTGCACTTAAAAACAGTTTCAACCAGTACTAGTTTTCTACATAATCAGTTTCCACGAAGGTTGAATACATTAGTTGAAAGGATGAAGACGCCAAAACAATTAGTTTGCAACAACCACTGATTAATATCATGGATTACATCTATTAGCTAAATTTCAATTAAAAACCTTTACCTCACTGGTGGATGGCAGGAAAGAATGCTTATGATAAAAACATAGCCAATAACAAAACTCTGTCTGGATATGGTAATTAAAAGTTAACTTTTAACTGTTAACCTTAAAAATAAAACTGACAGTCATTCTACCAGCAAAAATGGACTGACTCGGGAATAGCAGAGAATCACAATCCAGGAGAAGCGAGCTACGGCAAAACCACAGGCAAGTCCAACAAACCAAAGAGAGGGACATTATTTTATGGAGAAGAAGGAGGAAGCTGGAGGGGTTGTTTTGAACAAAAGTTGACTGGAGAAACGCAAGAGTCCAGAATGATGATGGTTTCTCACTGGCTGAGTTGCAGGGGAGGTAGGTTTCTAATAGAAGATGCAGAGTACATCTTTCCCTATTGGGGCCTGTAATTGGTGAGTGTTTCTTGTTGAGGATTCTTCTGTTCAAACTGTAATTGATCATTCTTTCTGTGATTGACATTGAGTGGGACACCTTCACCCACCAGCCTCCCTTCTCGTATCCCACATCCACTTTAGTGAGGCTTCTCCTTATATATGTTCACAGTATCAAAATGATATGAATTTAAAACAAGATTTTCAAATTACTAGATTACACAAGAACAAACCACGATTTTAAAAAAATAATGGAGCATATTTAAACACCCAGCTCTCTCTAAAACACATGGGAAAAGAAAGTTTTGCTGAAAATGTTCTTTTGTGCTATTCATTTAAAAAAAATCAAATATAGTTTCTATCATGTTAGCTAATCCCGTCAACATTTCTAGTTCTGTGAATGTTTTGTCCTGTACCTAACATAATAGTAAAGTAGTATACGTACACAAAAGCACAGCAACAAACCTATATGGGAGGGTGCATACTCAACACCTGCATTGATAGGGGAATGAATCACAAATGGTTCTGCAGGACTGTTTTTTCAATCAGCCACAGCGTACTGAGCATCTTGAAAGTGGCTGAGACCAGTGTGAACATGAAACCCAAGAGAAGGATGTGACCACAGGCCTCTGGGTGAGACATCAGGCAAACATGCATCCTCTTCAGGCTCAATGTTGTCGCCTATCAAATAGCAATGATCAGCTTTCCTCATGGAGCTGCTACATGGGAGTGCAAGCACATGGTCACGCACGTAAAATCACCTCGGTGGCTACTTGACAGGCATGACAGTAAGCCCCAAATAAAAGCTCGCTGTTGTCATGATCATCCGATAAAACCTGAGGATACAATCACTAAGAAATCATTCAAATCTCTGGATATATAACTGGCTGACTCCATAGAAAAACTTCTGTATCCTTTAACTACTCTCTTATTCAGTCACTGCTCCTTAGAAGTAAAAGACTAAAAACATAAGTGGAGTTCTACCCTGCAGAGAAGCTGGTTAATTAAGTATATAAATGAAATCCAGCTAACAGCTTCTGGCCCTTGGTGTGATGAAGTCGGTTTAAGGGAAGGGCAGAAAGACAGGTATCTCTTGCTACAAAGAATCAGCTCTCAGAGGATTAATCTACAGGGGAACAAATACGAAATGTGAAGAATCAGCAGTCTTGATAGGAAGAATGCTTTCCTCTTACTTCATCCTAAAGACCTAAGATTGATGAGAGAGAACAGGGATGCTGCAATTAAAATGGATTTGGAAAAGGAAAAATGTAGAAAAGATTGAGATCTGACATTAGTTAAGGTATTTCTCTGTGATTCATTCATTGAGTGGATATATCTGTGAACATCGTACTAACTCAGGCCGGTGTGTCCTACTAGCACGACTAGCACTTGACCCTAAACACAAAGACCTACAGTGAGGAGTTAACGATATGGGGGAGATGAAACTTATACCGAAATGTGCCTGCTATTAGGAACTATGGAGTGGGCACTGAGTGTAGATATCTCTAGAGTTAGACCTAGGAAGATAATGTCAGTTGATGAATGCCACCAGCTACCCATAACCAGACA